TTTCAATTTCGTGTGGGCGACCAGACCGTTGATCATCATTGATGTCAAAATTCCTTGAATGAAATTTGGCAAACCAATATTGACAGGTGCGTTCGGATAAGGCATCATCCCGTAAACACAGCAAATTTTTCTATGAGCTTCTGCAGCACGCTTACTTTTTTTAAAATAATACAAAAAAACATGCCAACAATGAATGGTATTTTCTCCCATATTCACAGTGCAATAGCAAACACAGTACTAAGCTAGTTTCAATAAAAGTTAACAGATATAGTTGTTGACATATTACGAACAGGATAAACAATCCACGTCAGGGATTAATTCACCAGATAAGAAGTGTATCATAGATGCATAAAAATAAACAAAACACCGAAAGGACTTATTTGCCAACCCAATATATGCATCAAAATAAGATAAACACTGTAACTTGCACTATATAGTTACGATAATCCCACAATGTTCTGATTTCATAGAGGGATCAAAGTATTTAGTAATTTAATTTTATATTACTAAATGATATTTTACAATATACCGACGAAATGCATAGACCTGTCTATGCTGATTGATTAAATTAAATATATATGTATTTTTAAAAACAAAAATTGTAGTTAAAATTTTCTCCTCGTAATGATGTTGTTGTTGTGGTTTTTCCGTTAAAAATTATTTCAAAAACTGTAATAAAAAAATTGTTTTTAACATTTTGTCTTCATATCTCTTTTATGTATCAGTTTCCTATATATATTTTGTTCTTTCGCAACAAAACCTTAAATATAATATATATATATATATATATATATATATATATATATATATATATATATATATATATATATATATATACGGTTATTATATTTCATCAATAAACAATTGATGTTTTACAAAACACCATATCAATCCCATGATTTTATTTCATTAACATAAAATATTTTTAACAAGAAGTTTTATTTCCTATATATTGTAACGTGTAGGCATTTAATACCATCTTCAAATATTCTTAAGGAACATAGATATCAATTAAAAAATTGAATAATATACTAAATATTTTTAGTATATTAATCTATGGTAGTAATTATTAAATTAATTTCTTATTCATTTGATTTCATTTTCTCTTAATCACTAACTTTAGTTTTCTTCCCCCTCCCCCCTCCCGTATTTTTTTAAAAACAGTTCTCCTGAAAATTATATAACAATAATATAACAACATGTGCAAAATATTGTTTTATAAAAATTATAATTTCATTAAAAAACCATTATTTAAGCAAAATTTACCTTATTATCGCTCTCTTTGATAACTGATTTTCTGTTCTTTCTAAAGTCAGAATTTCTATCATTTCCCTTACAGCTCAGATTGCTCTATATTTTTTGATGTGATACATTTTGACCAAAAACAGGTTTCTCAATGAAATTATAATTTTTGTGAAAAATATTTTTACATTAGCTGTTATATTGTGACATCAGTAATTTATATAATTTACAAGAGAAATGTTTTTTAAAGAATGATGGGAAGCAGGAGGAAAAGCCAAAGTAATTGAAATAAGAAAACTACTAAATGCGTAATGTGTAATATTAATTAAACAATAACTACCATTGAGCAGAATTCTAAAAATAATTTTTAATTGATTTTTTTTTTTTTTTTTTTGCAGAATATTGGAAAATGGTCTAACGTTATGAAATAAAATCTGTTGAATTAATGTGATTTTTTTGTGAACCGTTTTTGTAGATCGTTTTGTTTATGGATTAAATATAATAATTATATTAAGCTTCAACAAAAAAAAAATAAATAAGAAGAAGAACCAAAATGAGATTGGTTGTCGCGATTATTTATAGTTAAACGTAATTATTGATTATCATTGTCATTACTTCATCTCAAGTCGGACTTTTGAAATTGTGTAGCCAGCTGGTAGGTGACGGTCGGCAAGCAAGGCTTCTCCATCAAAGGAAGCCAATTCGTCAATTGATCACAGCCCTCGATGGCTTCTAGAGGGTTGCTACCTGCCTTAATTTCGTAATACTCTAGAATCGATTAAATCAATTAATACAAAGAAGCATTTTTGAACAATAATTACTAAATTATTGTTCAACGGTTGTTTTTAAATACTGAATCACAACAAAAGATTGTAAGTTGTTCAGTTAATTTTGTAGCCCTATTTTACCGGACTAGCCAATCAAACGGGACTTATATCGTGAACAACATATAGATTCAACGATTTTTCGGTTTTATCTGTTTATAGGCCTTGACATTTTACAATGACCGTTTGCGGCGATAAAATAAGAATATTGATGAACCTGACAATAATAAATTTTGTTTTTGCTTAAGGTATGCATATCATACAACTGAAAAAATACATTAATAATAATGTCAATTTTTCATAGTATTTGACCTTTATGTTATAATTTCCATATACACTGAATACTATGGAAAATGAACCTCACTATAAGCCTTATAATAGTGAGGGGACTAGGGATGAATTAAATTATAAGGAAATTTTAATCGGAATACAAAACTAAATTAAATTATTTAATGTAATAAAAAACATAGTAAAATTATAATATATTAATTGAACGCACATCTTTTCTTTTAAGATGCAAATATTTAAAAATATTTACACATTTTATTGAAAATAATTTTTTAAATCTCAATAATATATTCTGTAATAATTTATATATATATAAAAAACTTAAAAGAAATGTATTTGATTTTAAATATAAAATTTTGAAATATCGTATTGTATTATGAAAACTAAAAAACTAAAACAAACTAAAAAAAATTAGTGTAAATAATGTTAATATTAACTTTAAAACGAAAATTATAGGCAAAACGAGGTTTTAAATCATAAACTATATTTATTATATTCATAAACCATGTTTTCTATTATTATTGTTATATCATACAATTGTTATTTTTTGTGCTGATTGATTTTGAGATTGATAGAGGAAACTTCTAAAACAATAATACTAAAATATTAAATCACAGATCAAATAAGAAGACCAACTGCTTGACACAAAGTGATAGCATCTCGGTTCAGGGAAGAACCATAGAAAGATGTAATGGTATATAAATTACGATTTTTATAATTCTACTACCTCTTGCACCATTTTTAAGAAAAGGGGAATAATAAAATTTCTAGCTAGGCGAGACTTGGGAGAATGGGCACCCCTGCACCAAGACTTCACTATATAACCACAAATACCATTCAGATTGAACTCTACAGCAATTCGGCAAACGATAGCTCAAAATAGCTAGCTGTTGGTCAAAATAGCCCAAATATAAGATAATCAGTAACAAAGTTCATAATGCTACCAGATAAAAATGAACGAAAAATGTCTAGAATACTCTCCTGTATTTTACTTTAAAAAAATATTTCAAACTCACATATTCTTCTATAAGGAAATTCTAAACTCTATGTAAATTATGAACCCTCCTCTACGCTGGAAACCGAACACCAACCCCATCGACCACCTCAGTGATGTATCGACCCCTCTTCACAAGCATCAAGAGAGTCCATCGTTAGCCAACATCGAAACCCCAACAAAAACAGCAGTAAGTGGTACCTTGTAGTACTGACGGATGTCTTATTCCTAGTAAATAGGAAGGTCCTCTACTATTAAATTGTTTATTTCGACTATTGGAAAATCAAAAACTACTTGGGTCCATCTCGAAGTAAAAGTCTACTCCGATACGTTTTATTCAATAATATGTAATACTCTATTGCAAGTGTAACAATCAGTAGTCCTTAATATATCAAAAATTTGAGCTTCATAAATACATTATAAAAATATCAAGAAATTGCTTTCCGGTAGTAGCTCTGAATCGACGTGACTGAGTTTGACGAAAACATGCACAAACGCGTTTTGTAAAATATTTAAACGTGTTTTATTTAATGAAATAGTCCTTAATATGTCACAAAATTGAGCTACATAAATACATTATTAGAATAACAAGAAATTGCTTTCCTGTAGGAATTTTAAATCAACGTGAGCAATTTTGACGAAAATGGACATAAACACGTTTTATTAACCACTTATCGATTTCTTTGGGGGTGGAGTTATTTTAGCCTCTACTTATAGAAGGTAGGGAGGGACATTAGTTCTTAAAATGGCAAAACAAAGATTTTAAATGTACATTTATTAGAATAACAAGAAATTGCTTTCCTGTAGGAATTTTAAAACGACGTGACTAATTTTGACGAAAATGGACACACAAACGCGTTTTATTAACTACTTACCGATTTCTTTGGGGGTGGAGTTATTTTAGCCTCTACTTATAGAACGTAGGGAGGGACATTAGTTCTTAAAATGGCAAAACAAAGATTTTAAATGTACATGTGAATACATTATATTATATATATATATATATATATATATTATATATATATATATATATATATATAATATATATATATATATATATACCTCTTGAATAGTAAATAGCGTATAAATCATTCATTCAGTTTAATAGTTTATATGATAATAATTATGAGTTAGTTACATAAGTGAATGAAACTTATTAATATCGGAAGATTTAAATGGATGTATAAAACACTTCCAGTAAATGTTTCACAACTCCCTCCATAATAGTCTTAAAAGTCATGCATGGATGCATTAAAGTTTAGTTTTAGTAACAATGCACAAAATAGTTTTTACGTTTTGTTTATTACTATTTACAACAATCGAAAAAGAAAACGGTTTTATTATTCCAATAGATATGGGACAGGACAAGTCCCCCGATGCCATGGCTACAAAAGTGCTCCCATCCACAAACACCACCCTTTGCTGATATTGCCGGGAAAGCGATGACTTGAATTACAATCTCGACCTACTTCGGCTCGCTCTCCAGAGGTCGTTATTCCTTTCTTCGGAATCCAGCGATTCTTTCCCCCGGACGTGCCTGATATCCATAGGCCACGGATGGCGCCTTCACAAAGGGGACTTGAAGAACTGTTCCCCGTACGTGATGAGCTACTAACGGTACGGGACTCCGTGTAATCGGGATTACATGGAGAATGGAAACGGAGCAATGTCACTTACAGCTGCGAATGGATTGGGTTCCCGTTGAAGTGACGTTGATTGCAAGGGTGAGGAGAATTATGCCTGTTCGAGATACATTTGAATTGATTGATTTGGAAATAGTTGTTGAAATGTACGAGTTGTTGTTTTTAAAACAATTAAAAAAACCACTAGATATGTAAATTATATTGATAGTAACGATAATTAGGAAAACTTGTCCCTCCAAAAATTTATAACCACGTCAAAATATGCAATCCCACTTCACATTTATAACCCGAAACATCCTGGTCTTCCAATGTTAAAACTCACTGATGAGATTCTTTAGTTAAATAATCAGATTTCCTTCTTCTTATATTTTTAGTTATAATTCCAGAAATTTCCAATTATGGAACCTATATATTTTCTTTTGAATTTCTGAGGCCACACCTTTAACTTTTTTGTCAGAAATCAAGGCTTAAAACTGTTTCTATAGCATATTGATTGTCGTAAATTATAACTTCGTATAGTACATCAAGCTTTAATAATATTTCACTTATCCCTGCCCATTATTACAGACACTCAGTCACCAAGTAACGGGGCTACGGAACCAATTCTTACTTCTTTACCATGTAAGTTTCCTCAGACTGACTCCTTACTACAATATGAGGTCTATTAAAGGTACTGATGAATGTTAAGTAAGACAACGGTTACTGAAGGTCGGCCGCTAGCTCACGCCTGCCGACTGTTGAATGGTTGATGAGGTTGCTCACCTAAATGTGTCAACTCGTGATTTCGTACTGTCTTGGCACAGATGTCAACCCCATTCCTAATTTACAGTTTAATATTCTATGTAGTTGAGAATATTCATTACTCTCCAGAATTCTAGGATAAGTCAGTTCGAATCTGCCGCTTAGTTTAATTATTTATTTATTTTACAACTACGCAAATGCATTTGACTGTCTCAGACTGTTAAGTTATATTATATTTAGTCGTTCTGTAGATAATGGATACCAAGAGGCATATATAAATTCATTTATTAACATAAGAATCCCTTCATTTAAAGAAAGACTCAATACATATTATTGGTTTATATTGAATCTTGAGATACACTATAGAGGACAAATTTACGATTACCTTTTGAGGAGGACGTTTTATGATTTTATATTTTATTTTCACATTTTAAAAACCTGTACTACTACGAATAAAACCTCGAATTCAGCATTCATTATGAATGCGAAACGTGGCCGCTTACATTAAGGGATGAGCAACGTCTTAAGGTTTTTGAAAATAAAGTATTGCGTAGAATATTCGGACCGAAGAAGGATGAGTTAACTGGAGAGTTCAGACGGTTACACAAAGCGAATTGCGTGAACTGTATCCGGTTAATATAATTGAGGTAATTACATCGCGGCAAATCAAATGGGCTTGTAAAATTATTGGGCCTAATACCGAAAGAATTCTTAAAAGGTTAATATTTGCTGTACCGAATGGTATACGTCCGAGGGATAGACCGAAGCGAAGGTGGAAAGATTGCGTTGTGTGTAATAACGATTGGTAGTGTCAGTATTGAACCTTCGGATTCACTACGCCTTTTATTATTATTATTATTATAAGTACGAAAATATTGTGGAACTAACTAAAAACGTACAGCATTTCTTGCAATTCATGAATTCTGGGAAGCTCAAAATTTTGTTTTGTAGGGTAAAGCCTTGAAAGACCGAAGACTTGTCTCAAAGCAAATATTTAATTAAGAATAACAGTTTTCATTGTCGGAGAGAAAATCTCCAATCATTTTGAAGCCCTCCTCATTAACTTAAGGGTTGTGAGAAAACAGAAAATTTAATTATCTTTCGCTTCAAATGCAAACTGAGTAAAACATTAACATTGATGTAATTAAAATGTATTATGGAGCAAATTAAAAGTGAATTGTTATTGAAAACTGTAAAAAAAATATAGTTTATATGCAACTTTATTCTGATATTGATATTTTCCTCAGATGTATAAGGAATTTTTAATTTTTGTTTCCAGAAGATATTGATATGAATAAATCACCTAAGAAGGTGACTCTCAGTATGAATAGCTGATTTTTGTAGTCCTTATACATCTCGTGGCTCTCACTACAATAACATTACGAGTCCCGTTACTGTTTTGGACTTGGAGCACAATTGAACTTCGTTAGAGCAGGATCTTCCAAAATCCATGGAAGTGAGATGGCGACGGGCTTACACGATGGGTTGTTTTCATGTTGTCATTACTAATAACATTAAATTCAAAAGTATACTTGATACTTGCAACTAATACGATCGAATATTAGTCCTTATTACTTAGTCCTCTTTTCAACACTGTTGGTCAGTCTTACTCAGACTTACTCCTCTCCCATTCATTAAATTACCAAAACAATTAATTTAAACTCAAGAACAGAGTTAGATTTCAAACATCTATCTTCAATTTCATAAATGAAATGAAAATATTTTCTTTATTATCCTGGGACTGTTGTCCCTTTAGGACAAATTATATATATAGAAAAATGCCTGTTTGACCATAAATTAAATTAGATATTTACAATTCTCATTAAAATAAAAATATTGGACGAAGAATAAAACAAAAACACTACGAACATACAGATACTATAATACAAACATGGGAAAATAAAATAACATAAGTAAACAAAATCATTTCTGGGGGAACTTAAAAAGTTCTCTTATCTACTTTTCATGATCAATCGGGTTGGAAAAGAAGTAGGTGATTAAAAAGGAGATATTTATACGAGGAAACTGATTGTGTACATTGTGTGGAGTTCGGTGAAGAGGTAGATAGAGGTCGGAAGTACGAGATCTAGTGGGACGGTATTAAATGGAATATTTAAATTGTAGGCTATGAAAAATATAGGAAGGCCGCTGAGTTCTGATGGCTTGGTATAGAAAGGTAGCAAGGAAGTACAGACGGCGGTTGGATGGATACAGCCACTTCAACTTGGTGTAATACTGGGTTATATGCGTATCTCTTGAGATTCCGAAAACAAATCGTATTGCGCAGTTCATTAGGCGTTTAAGTTAAGTAAATGTACATGCCTTCGACATAGCGTTTTTTCAATTCCTTAATTCGTACTAGCACGGCTTGTTCCTCATTTTCCGATATTTTTCATGAACAAGCTGTAGGTGTAAAGTGAAGTGTAAGTGTAAGGAAATTATTCATAAACATTGATAAAATTTTGAACACTATGATATACAGGCCGAGAGCATCGGGATAATAAAAACTTCACCATTTTCTTAATGTAGACGTAATTCTGCCTAACATTCCCAGTTTGACAACGTGTAAATTGTATATCCACAAAACATCCAGGTATATGTCTTCTCAAGAATATTAAAAAGTCCCAAATTTAATTTTCATTCTAATTGGTTCTATTAATATGAAAGTTAATTTTATTGTTTCTTATTGTATGGAAACACATAGGAGATGGAAATTGCAACTGCAAAACTAGCTAAAACTAGATATTGGAACTTATATACTGATAATTCCTATAATTATCAACTTATCAATTTTTGAAAACAATATACCCGCATATCCTCTGCAACCAATGTTAGGGATACATCATAATGCCAATGTTTCCATAGAATTATTCCTGTTTTTCAAAATTTATACATAATAGTTGAACAGCTAATCCTATGATATTATAAGCAATATTTACGTAAATACTATTTGTTTGACAGTAATGTGACGAAGTTGCAGAAAGAGTTATCATTGCGAAGCAGCACTCAGCCAAGTTGCGTCAGAAGATGGGGGGGAGGAACGGTGGTGGAAAGGTCAGAGTTCAAACCGCTCACTTAGCTCCCGATCCTTCACTCAGCTTCGATTAGTGGCTATATCGATTGTTAATGTTTGCTCTAACTGGTATAATGTGTCTTGTCAGTTTAACAAGCTTAATTACTGCCTAATTGTCAACAATATAGTTCATGCTTTCAAAGGAATTTGAAGCTAATTTAATAGAATTAAGATAAGGGTGCATATATATTTTATTGTATAAAAGATGTCTCGTAAGTAAAGGGAAATATTAAAAGCGGTAGGTAGCAGACCTCAAGAATTATAAAAAAGTATTTATAAGCAATTATCCGATTTTCCGCAGAAAAAAAATGAATTTTAAACCAGAGATGGGCAAATGCTACCCTGAGTACCGAGTATCAAATATTTTACTCAAATTGAATCTCTATTGGGAATTAAATAACTACTTCAGTTAATCGTTTGACATCAACTGAAGTATTAAATAAATTCTTTGGGACTCAAAAAAGGTCAGTATTGGAGTAAAATACTTGGTACTCAGTACTCAGAATAGAATTTGCCCATCTCTGATTCAAGGTTAGTGTTTTTTTAAGTAGGTTACGTTTTTATTGAATATGAAGCGATAACTAAAAAAATATTTGATTGAGGCAATTTAGTTTCATAGTAAACTACACAAAATATACGTTGAATATAAGAAGATGTCTTTGTTAAAACTATTTAAAAGGGACGTTTTATGCGGGTAAACTAGACTGTTTTGTTTTTCATAAAATCATTGATATTCACGATTTTTTTTTTTTTTTTTTTTTTTTTTTTTTTATCGCCCTCCAACTTGACAATAGTTATCCTTCTTTTAGAAAAGTTTCGTGTATCTTATACTTCGCTACTACAAATCACTTTTCAATAAAACCATACGATTTCTTTATCTATGTTTACATACTTTTTAATAACCATCGTTATGTAATTATAACCTCATTTTCAAATAAGTAAGTTCATGTTTCTTCACCAATAAGAAATAAAAATGATAACATTGGACTTATTTATTTACGTATTTTTTTTACTAACGCACTTTCCTTGTTACTTGAGGTAGTGGATGCACGTTTATTATTTATTATTGTTCGTCTAATTACAGTTAATAGGACTTAAAGAATCACTTAAAGACCATTTCATACATGTCATTAGTGTCTTTCTTTCTTCCGACGTAATTATCATAATATATTTATTCAAAAAAATCTTTGGGGCTGAAGCGCTCCCCAAAATTAAATCCTGGATCCGTTAGTGGTAATTCTCAATCAGTGTATTGTTAGAATTAGAAAGTTTCCGTTGTGTGAAAGTTGAAATTCTCATTTTAGTGTTCAATGATGTTATTCGAAATTTTCAACAATTCAATTAATAATTATTATATATTATATTATTATATATAATATCATAATATTTTAATTAAGTTATCTCTTAATAGTTAAAGTATATGCTGATTGTATGTCATTTTAGTGTTTATCAATTATTTGAAAAAAATGTTTATTAACCCATTTTTTTAACTTTGGGACATGAATATAAGAAGAATGAATTCTCTGAACGGGAGAAGGGAGATTGGTCAAAATATAGTGTCGATAAATATTGACTGGACCTCAGGACCTTAGAAAATATATACTACTCAATCGAGAAAATATAAATAAATATTATGGTGCAACGAATAATAAAGATAACTAAAACACTTTCTACGCTATATTATGGCGAATGCATATAATGTCCTATTGCCATGGAGTGTTAGAAAAAATGTTTGGCTCTCGACTAAATATTCTCTAAACTGATCATTAATAATAATCATTTTACATAGTTCGTACACTATTTAACATATTTAATACTTCTATAAACTAATACTCGAAGCCTTGTAAATAACCTATATTTTTTATATTGTGTATAAATTATTAAGATATATGTTACAAAAATTAAGTAACACCCTATTTTGGCTTTAGAATGTAACAAAATAACAGATTGTTTATTTAAAATATTTTTATGATAAATTAAATTATTTCACCTCGAAGATCTATTTTATCTAAACAGAAAATAAGTGGAAATTCTGCTAATGCCGTTATTGTGTCTATTTAATTTAAATGTTTTCCCATGATAATTGTCTTTTCCTACTTGATGTTGTTTGAATATTTCATTATAATAATTACGCTGTCTTAGGTTGATAGTTAATATATTACATTTAAAAAAAAAAATGATTTAGCTTGCAATAATTTAATCAGTTTTGAGTCAGACATCATGCACATGTCAGTGCTATCGATGAATTTATGAAACGTTTTCAGCAATGGAAAAAAAAATAGATTTTGTGCTTATCAATTTTAATTCATATTTGCAATAATTATGAGCAGATAATTTTCATCTAAGAAACAAAGATTGATATTTATATGTATAAAAAAAGGTTATAGTATTTAATCTGATCGAAATTACCAGTCAATGAATAATATTGTTGGATAAAGTATGATATGATCCCGCAAAGAAATCTGTTTCAGATTGTTACTTTAGGAGGTAATTTTCTAAGCTCCTTAATGGGCTAAGATTTTTAGTCTGGCACGTGGCCCATGGCATTTCATAAATAACAAAAACGGAATTTGGAAAGGTTCATATCGGGCGAGCCAAGATTAACAAATAGATCTAGTTAATTTTATATAGTAGATCTAATATGAATTAGATCTAATTATTTTAACGGTTATCATATGTTAACAGTTGTTAATTGTTTTGTTTTTTTAAATAACGGTCATAAACGTAGCTAGATTACTTTCATTCCTAGTATGAATTTAAAATCAATACTTGAGTTCAAATTTAGAGATGGATTCATCATGGTTTAGCATTTTGACATTTGGTTTTATTTAGCTGCTAAAATATTCTGTTAAATTAGGAGGACAGATGCTAAGTCAGTTAACGTTTCTTTATTTCCAATACCTATTAACACACCGGCCCTTATAACACGTGATTGTCTAATTTATTATAAATAATATAATATTATAATTATGTAATGCAATTTAAATAATAATAATAATTTATTTTTCATTTTATATATTTATTTATATATTATTATATTTTTTCTTAAGCTTTATTTATTGTATTATTATTATTCATTTATTTTATAAACTTCACTATTCTATACTTATAAATATCATGTATCTTCGGGGATATCTTTTGTAAGAGACTATACTCTCTCCCTCTCCCTCCCCCACCAATTGAAAATCAAAAATCGGAAAGGTGACAGTTCTGACGTTACCTAAAACGGTAGAAAAATAAAAATGGTTACAAAGTCCAACACGGTGTATCATTGAGGATACTGCTTGTTCCGATTTATATTATTGATTTTTTGCTTTCTTCTTTTTAAAAAATTTAATTATCTTTCAAGTGCCTTTAACTTTAACAATAAAATACATACATTTCATAAAGATGAAACGATGAAATCTAGTATACGAGACCACATCTTAAGGAAGCATCTTTAGAGATAACAGATTGATTAAAACATGGAAGATTGTTGCTTTTATATCATTTGGGAAACATCGACTCCTTCTAGCCATATATAAAAAATACTCTTCAAACCTGATCGATCCATATATCCGGATGGGTCATTTTAATCATTATAAACATTTTAAATTACAAACAATAATGAAAAATTCCAGAGGAGTATGCCATGTTGAGTACTTATCGAAGGTTCTTTGGTCCATTATCTTTCGCGAATGGAGGAGCAGGACCTAAGATTTTGCGAAGTGAATTTATTTTCTTGAGGTTTCGATTTCGGCCTTGAAGATCGGGTTGCCGCTCCCTGTTTTCAATCGAATGTCAGATCTAACAGAGTTAACATTTGCCGTCAGGCCATATCAGGTTTGGGTTCTTGATTGTACTATTGCTATTCATTAGCTGAGTGAGGATATTTTACAACTCTGCGAATTGGTAATACTTAACAATGTAATAAGCAAAACAGAGTTGAACTAATACAAAAATTATTTAATTATCAATATAGCTAATCAATTATCGCCCACTGCATCATGCCTCATTAGTGTTTTTTTTACAGGGATTAGATTCCTATCTGGGGTCAATGCTTCCGGAGCTACCGCCAATGCCTTCGTTGTCAATATTAAAAATGTTAGCAAAATATTAAAGAAACTTTTAAGTTCAACGTATAGTTTAAGTTTAAGGTGAGTTTAAACTCTCGTTAAATCGTTACCATTATGTTAAAATATCGATTTTTAATACTCGTGTTTTGGAATTTAAATCATTTTATTAATTTACCAGAAGTATTTTTACAAAATAAAATACCATGAATATTTAGGATTCAGAGAACTTAAAATACTCAAAGATCATAAAAAAAAAATTAATAAAAAATGCAAAAAGAATCGCAGTGGGATAGTAAACTATTGTTTGTGATCAGAAAAGTAACAGTTCTAAGAATTGTTATATTAACGTAATAGCGCCGAAATATCAAGCTGTAGTCGTTTGCTATACGTATAACGGCACGAGAGGGGTACCACAACAATACGGGTTTTGAAAGCCCGGTATAAATATAAGATTAAAATTTAAGTTTAATAGGTTGTTAGATATTAGAAATTTCAATACTTCACACAAATTTATAAATGAGTAAAAATTGGTTTAAACAAGTAATAAGCTATACCACTGCAACCCATGAGGTCATGAGTTCAGTACTTTCGTAAGATAGTACTTGTCATAGGGACTGAAACCCGGGGAAATAGTAGCACAGTGATCAGCTTATTTCATTGGTCAGCTCTGTTCACACCTCAAGTTTTTATTAATTATTATAATTTCATTATGGACCCCTTAAAAAAATAAGGTGATTTCCAGAGTGGGGAAGAATCAACTCTAACCACTTCACGTCAATTTTTGAAGTTCAATAGTTTATTGTACAATAAGGAAGATTTTTATTATTTTTTCAGTGTTCAGCCACACAGCTTTCTGGGCTTCGTTTATAATGGCTGTTGAGTATCTTCCAAAGTGGACGCTGGTATTCGACCATTACTGGAGATCACTAAAGCTCTTACTGTTAGTTTGCA